TGTAATCTTTACACACTATGATGTGAACTCTCTCAATCTACATGTACTTTGGTGTCTGATTGTTGTCTTTTTGTTTCTGTTATTAAGCGCTGGAAATTATTCTGCGAGAGAAGTTGTTGAAAAGAATCCCTGTCATCAGTGTCATCAGTATCATGGGGACAACTGAAGAGAGTGCAGTTGATCCACTTGTGGACATCCTCTCAATAAGGAAAAAGCTAAGTAAAGAGGTATTACAACCTTTTTTATCAGACTTCTATTGCATTTGCAAAACAGATTTGATCGAAAGGACCTTTTCATTTCTATCAAAGCTTCCTTTTTTAATTAAAAGGACCAAGTCGCAAAATTACTCTATGCAATTAACGAATAGAACGTGTTGGAGATAAGGTACACCCTTTGCGTAAATTATCTCAGTCGAAAAAGTTTCTCTGTTCAAAAGCTATTTAGACTGAGTGTCGTACGAAGAAAACCACAGAGCTCGCGAAAGTCAATCAAAATAGAGCTAAATACTACAAGGAGCCGAAGATAACTCGAAGTAAATGCTTTTAAATCGCACTCAGAGCGGCAAAAGGCGAGTGATCAGGCGATGTATCCTTTTTAATATGATTGATTGAGAGGGTTGCATGGGTTTTTCTTGACCAATAACAGGGCGTAGTAGGGAATTAAATATATACGAAGCCGTAATACTTTCGAAATTTAGTTGAAGGACTTCTTTGTGAGGACATTTCACGATTCCCGTCATTCCGGAATTGAGCACAAATTAAACGAGGAAATCAATTTTTCTTTACAGGGGCTGAATTTTAGTATCCACGCGGACGCAGCCTGGGGAGCATACTTCTCATGCATGTTCCGTGAACATCATGATCCTTTAATGGCTGCAAAAGAGGGCTTTGTTCCTGAACTCCAGCTTAATAGCCACGTTACAGAGCAGCTGAAGGCTCTGAACCAGTGTGACACCATTACCGTAGATCCTCACAAATCTGGATTCTGCCCGTACCCAGCTGGGGCAATCTGCTACCGTAACCAAGATCTCAATAACTTCCTTTCTTTAACCAGTGATGTAGTCTACTATCATGGTAATATCAACTTTGGAGACCTTGGCCTGGAAGGATCAAAACCTGGTGCAGCTGCCGCTGGAGTGCTGCTTGCCAACAGGGTAAGCAACAGGAAAATGAGTTCCCTTCTGGCACAGCAAGAAAAGAACATCCTTAAAAAATCAATCGCCTTAAAATTGTATTACATCAGTCAAACAGAAAACTCCGCATGCGAATCAAGGGTCAAGTCGTGTTTTTTAGTCGAGCTCGCCTATTTATTATCTTCGGGTTGCTTCCCTCTGTATAACTATACAACTACGAAACCTTGAAAATATTACGTTTTTTTCCTCCACAATGTCCTATTGATTGAACAGAAATTCGCGAAAAAAATTTTTCTCAGCAGGAAATTTGTTTCAGGGGATCAACATCTGCTTTATGGCAAAATTCACTTTCGCGAAATTTCTAAGAATGGAGCCAGATTTATTCTGTTTACGTGTTGTTATATCCAGGTGATTGGGCTGCACAAGAATGGATATGGCCGCATCTTGGCCGAGTGCATGTTCACCTCGAAGATCCTTCATTGCTACTGGGTTTGTATGGCAGAGGATCATGACGATTTCGTATGTGAAACAACCAAGCCACTTCCAACCGAAACAATCCCTATTGCCCCCAACAGCGATGTCAAGGTTGATTACAAAACTTTCATAAAACGCAACGTGTTGGGGAAATCCAATGAAGAGCTGTCTCAGGTAATGCCAAGCCCCTTACGTACGCGTCATTTTAGGATGTAACTAAAACTCAGTTAGTAATCTTACGTAAGTTTAGCATTTTAATTTTTCCTTTTTCAGGACGAATACACAATGTATATCCTCAAAGAAATTGGACCTGATACCATGATTCCTTGCTTCTCCGTGAATATCCGCGGAAATGAAGATGTGGAAAAATGTAATCTTATCGTCGGTGCAATCTTTAACGACCTGAGCCACGCTTCCACCGAACAATCTGAACAGAGGGTCCCTATGATTGTGACGTCTTCTACAATGCAAGATCACAAGTACAGCTTAGCTCTGAAGAAATTCAAGGAAAGACTTGGGGTGAAAAAATGTTAAACATTGCATTTTTTCCTAGATTTCTGCTGTTGTTTTCATGTTGTTATCATTTTGGTGCTGCCAAGTAAAGCCATGTGGATACGCTTTAAGATTAAAAAAAAAAGTAACACGCACCTCGATTGAGTACCGTTCAATCCAAAATAATCAAAATGTAGTCAGAAAAAAGTAAATACGTTAAAGGACTCACAGAACCCGAAGTAAAACAAAGCATTCTGCCTAAAGCGTAGGAAAACGCCGGTGACCAAGTTACTACAGAGTGATTGAAAGTGATTTAAAACAGATAAAGGAAAGCCAATCTTTTTAATTAATCTTTTTGTTTTCCTTTTTTTCACAGCTGAGCACGGACAACAAAGAAGGAGTGAGGTACGTTATCACCACATGTCTGGATCCGTGGTCCACTTCGTTGGAATTCATGGACGACTTTGCTGACATCATGAGGAACACAATCCTCAATGCTATAGGAACAGTAAGTGTGTGATGCTATAAATATAATAAACTGTTAAAGGAAGATGATCTGTTTTATTTGTTTGTTAAGAGCGAGCATTAAAGAAACGATTCGCCATGAGGTCGAAATAGGGGGAGTTTATGGAGGAATAAGCCACATACCAGGTTTGGAAGTGATATACGTGTGATCTACATACTGAAGTAAACAGAATTGTAGTGTTCACTGCATAGTCACTGCCCCATTTTTTAACTTTGAGACATAAACTTCAGTTTGATTGATGTCGATACACATTATAATTATTTGATTATTTAAAAGGTAACTTCTCTCCTTCAGGTCACGGACAAGGAAGATCACCACAGTTTTGTTTGTACAGACAAGGTGAATAGTCAGAACGAAGTGTTCGTGTGTTATGTTGGAAGCTTTGGAAACTTTCGCCAAACTCAGCACCAGTACTTCTCAGTTGCAAGGTTTAAGTTCCACTCAGAAGCCGACGTGGCTACTTTCAATGACACTGTGCAGAAAGCTGGTGACCAGCCTGTGATGATGCAAAATCTCAAAAGCGAACCAAGGGTGCTTCATGACCTGCTGTTTAACGATTCAGGGGAAAAAAGAGAAACCGTGAAGTTTAATTTCTTTGTTGGCCTCCCCAATGGAAATAATGAACCGTTCATGACGGCCGACATGGAGATCAAAGACGTGCCCCGCTATGACCACTTCGACAAAGCCGATGACCAGTACCCTGATGTTGCTACCTACGTCATGTATGGTGACTTGAAAGATGCCTACCTGTTCCATTATCCGACAAAGTACCCTGATTACTTGCAGGTGAGTCATCGGAGAGATATCTTACAGGTCAACAGCTTGCTTTGTGGTTTCTGCTCTTGTCAATACGGATTTACTGATGGACTGATGGTCAAACGTGCTGTTTTGATCATACTTTCTTCTTTAATCGGCTTGAAGCTTGGCTGGCCTCTATAGCATCAAATAATCCAGGTGTTGTTAATCAATTTCATTTTAAGATACGTTTTGTATTCGATCAATGGAGGCAGTAAAGTGAACCGGAACACGATATGCTAATGAAAGATGATGTTGTATTTTTTCTTCTTCCCTCTAGATTGTCAGACTTACAGAAGTCCATGAAGGCTTGGGCGATGATAGTGAAAAATCCGTGATTCTGAAGCAAGGCGTGGATGCGGAGTTGCCCATGGTTCCCGGCTCCCCAACCACTGACCCTAAAACTGGGAAGATCAAGGACCCTTTGGAAGAAACCAAATACGACATAGAATTCGTAGGAATTCAAGGGCAGGAAATTAAAACCACTGTCATGATACAAAAGAAGATTTGGTTTGACGGTGAAGTGCTAAACAAATCTGCAGTTGCATAAGAACGTAGTAAAATAAGAGATTCCTGCTGAATACTAATTGTGATATTGGGTTCAGGGCAGATAAAAGGAATATGTTTCTGTTCTAGTCTTATTAAGCTGACAGAGTTTGGAAATTAGCTCCACGCATACTGCTTAGGCCTCGATACTGTTGATTTAGGTTCCTTTCAAAGTAGTCTACGGCGAGTGAAAATCACGTGACAGTTACGCTGTCACGATGTCTTAGTCTTTCAAGTTAGTCTGTAACGAGTGACAATCACGTGATAATTACGCTGTCACGATGTCTTAGTTAATGGAATCCGATAGTTATTGGTGTAATGGGAGGCGAACCTAACGTTCAATTAGACTTGAAAAGCATTGCGAGGTCGTTGATGTAGAATACTTAGAGAAGTAGTTTTAACCAACTGTTGGATGTGGTTTGCTGCATAACAATAAAGTCAATTAGCTGACAAGTTATTTTTGCCATTTTTAATTTTTTCCATCCTAATCGCGAATGCTAGTATACTCATGGTTTACAATGGAAATGACTTTTTGCCGTCACGTTGGATAACAAAAAGTGAAAAATATTATAATTTCTCGTGAAAATTGATAGATACTCCATTATCACCAAGAGAGAATATAAACTGATATTTTCATGATTATCTCTAATCAGTCGGGTAATTATCGCCCATTTCCGGATCGAATCCACTGATTTCCTTCCTGTTAGACCGGCCAAACGACTTATGATCAAAATCAAATAACCAGCGATTATCTGCCCTTCTAAAACTGTTGCCTATTAAGGACTATCACTAAATTGTCGCATTTGGAAATATAGTGATAACCAAATTAACTTCGCAATATCAACTCAAGGATTGATTCAGAAATTTACGTGATATCACGATCAACTGTTTGTATCTTGTCAGACCTCCCAGTCCAATAAAAGCTGTATTTGTGACAGTTATTTACCTTCAAACCACACACCTGGTACCCGTGATATGATTGTTATGAATCACTTTACAAAACAATCCTTTGCTGTCACATGCTATCATTAGTTATTCAAAGGTAGTTACCTCAGAAACCGTTGCTGGTGAAGAAGTCAAAAGTGCAGTTGTCAAGACCTTGGAGTTAAATTTTTTGTCGAAATCGAAGTCAGGTGAATCAGGAATAGCGAGAAGAATGGAAGAACGTTTGCTCATGAGACTGGTGGTTGGACAGTTGCTGCTGGTTGTCGTATCCTCAGCAGGTACGAGATTGTATTTTCCTCACATGGCTTATATGTTTTCTGGTTTGTGTACTACGTTGTTCAGTGAACCATGGCTTTCTCAATGGTGATTTTAAACTCCCCCCTTGGATAGAATACCAAAACCACTATCCAGGGGTGAATCAGTAACACCCATGGCTGACTATGGTCAAAGCTGTCAAAAATTTACTCTTGTTAATACTACCTGGCGGTCCAAATAATAGTATAAAGAGAGATCAAGAGGACTACCAAAAAATACTAGCATTTATGATAATCATGATTTGCGATTTCCGCCCATTAATTTGGATTGTCAAAACAACTAACATAATGCAATTTCTCTATAAATTCCACCGCCGAGCCATTTCAAAACTTAATTGAGACTGATCGTAAGTTTCACAAGTTTGAAATCAAAAATTGATTGCAAATTTTTGGCTCGAGTTGTTAAGTTTTCGAAAGAACAGTTTCAAATTCATAACAACTGTTTATGAAACATAAATGGGCAAAAAAAAGTTTGATTTAATTCAAATTCTTTGTATCCAAATATTCGGCTTGTCTGAGAGACTAGTTCTCACGCAGGGCCATGTAAAGACATTCTGTCAACACTTTGTACCTACAGAGGCGATTTTGGCTTCACAGAGTCCCTCTCTGCTCCAATGATAACGGATGAATACTTGCAAATAGTTATTTCAAGGAAAAAAGCATCAATCAGCACACCATCAATGGATTATGAAGTTTGTTACTGACTTAGAATAATTGCGCACCCACCTTAGAGCGCATAAAATGCTGAAATCTATACTAATTTGAATTTAATTCCAAATGTTTTAAATATAACAGCATTTCCCGCTTTTTTTTTGTTTTGTTGATGTTTTGTTTTGTTTTGTTTTGTTTTTTTCTAAGCTCCACAAGCACAGTATCAACTTCGTCGTCCAGTTCAGACGAATGCGCAAACACGTACCTTTCCCCAAAACACACTGGGTAGACATACAGGTCAGTCTAAGAATTATACATCTTAAAAAGCAGATACTCATCATAGCATTTGCCCATCTCAGGTTTCTTTCCACATGCAACAGTCTCTTAAGAATGGTCTGTTTATTTTGGCAGGTCCACAAACGCAATTTCAATTTCGGCGTCCAATTCAGATGGGTGCACAGGCCCGCAGTTTCCTTCCAAACCGTGTGAACGCAAAGAGAGGTATGACAGGAAGCACGTTTACATTCTTTCAAAAATTGCCATGATGAAGTAGTGTATCGTGTATTGTATTTACACATTTCAATAAATGTTTCACAGAATTTTGCAATTTCAGACGCAGAAGATCTAGAATTTTAACAAAAAATATCTGTAGCTTTTGAGAGGGCGCGTACGTACGGTCCAGATGAATGAGTTGGATCGAGAAGGAAAGAAAGAAAGGAGCGCCAATAATATTCAACAAAAATAGACAGAATAAAATGACCGAGAAGATTGCAACTTATGATCAACCCCCACACTTCCCCCCTGTCCCCCGCAAAGAATTCACACCGTTGTATTTTTATCAATTAGGTTATACAGCTGGACGTTACCCACCTCTCCCATCCAGAACAGGGGCACAGTTACCGGCTGACAACAGGAATTTTATCCCCAATAGATTTGACATTCCAGCGAGTAAGTTACAATGAAAAGTAAAATTGGGAATGTATGGCATGCGTCCTGTCTACTGTTAGCACCGTCTTTGTCGAAAAATAGTTGAGAGGGAATAGAATAAGGAAGGAAGCTCATCGAATTAAGATAAATGTAACTGGTCTTGTCACGAACGCGGGACAAATATAAAATCTAACTCCTTGAGGAGGAACCCAATCACAAGACATTCGGACCATCGACTACTCCCGAAGACCTCAAATTTTTTTCTTTGTTTTGAGTCATTCTCATGGGAGTGCTTGGTTCCAGTTCTGACAAGAGATAAGCGAGTTAAAAAGTAATTACATTAACTTCCCTAGTAAAGCGTTTCAAGAATGAATCATGAGCGAAGTGTTGAGAAAATGGTCGCAGTAGCATGCTGTTTACGATGAAAGGCAACTGCTCTGAATGCCTTCATTTTATTAAAAAGGGAGTGGCCAATTTCGAGACTTATTTATCCAGAACAAATTTGGGTCCTGGTTCAGTTTTGTTTTATGTAGTCTTCGCTAGTGCACACAAAAGCTTATATCAATTTTTCGTTTCAGGTGTTATACACAAAAAGCCTGGATCATCAGTAGGTTGGTAATCCTGCAGCTTGATCACATGACGCTTGTTCAGTCATTTTATATTTTGGTTCTCCATCTGCAGTACGCAGCAACCTAAGATAGTTTAATATCATTAAATATATCACTGGATTTTATGACAATTACTGTGATGCCCAGACTGTTGCACTTTTCGGCATGAAACATAAACTTGTACATCAGTTGATATCCTCTTGTTAATCTTAATGTGACCAAATCATTCCAGTGCAAATTACAAAAAAAAACGAAACTTTTGCGGCCAAACATCGATTTCTAACGTTATTTAAGTGTTAATTAATTTTCTGGGTGTATGCTGGCACCATGAGTATTTATGTAATATTTTTCTTTTCTAATCATCAGGGTGTGTTGGGGTTGATCCTTGTGGATTACTTCCCCCCTATTCTTCACCAGCTCTCCCACATGCTCCCCCTCTGCTACCTTACACCGGATTCCCCCCACCACCTGTCCCATACGGCCCCCAGGGGTACGCTCAATCAGCCCCCATGGCTCCCAATGGGTATGGTATGCACTCAATCAACACCATGGCTCAGGATGCAGCGGCAGCAATGGCCGCTAAATTAAAACTTCTTGGTGGGACACATCCTGAGAAAAAATTCGTGCCACATCTTCCTCCCATGGGGAGACCACAGCCGGGAAAACCTCCTTATAACCCTCCACCTCCGGCTCCCGAGCCACCAGCAGCAGCAGCATTTGCCCCAGGGCTGCCAGGCCAGCTGCCATATCAGCAGCCATTTGGCTACAATCAACAAGGCATGCCTCCTCAAACAGCTGAATTCGGCGCCCAACCGGCTCCCGGGTTTGCTCAGCCGGTAGCGCCTCCGATGCAAGGAAGCTTCGCTGATCAGCAACCTCTACCGGTTGAGTTTTGATTGTATTACATGGCTGAGAAAATCAGTTTATACTACAACCTACTTGTGGCACTTAAAATGTTCCTCCACCTGGCAGTGTATTTGTTAGAGGAACACACTAAATTGTTCAGATTGTCCTACTACGGCGCCTAAATGATTAAAAAAAAATCCTCATTACTGTTCGACAATTTACAATGATAGTCTATCAGCTGATTTTTATAGAAACATTCCCTACCCAGTTACGCCAAGCAAGAGTGCCTCTCTTGCGCTGCAACAATTCCTAACAAATAGTAAAAAAAAAAAAACAAAACAAAACCCTCAGAAAGTTCATTTGTTTCCAACTAAGGCATAACTTATTGTATTTTAGGCGCCAGCTACTTTTCCCCAGGACCAGGCCCCTGCATTTACCCCTCAGCAGCCCTTGTCCACGGGACCTCAACAGGTAGAAACACCACAGCTGGTTAACAATGATGACCCTCAAGTGCCTTTTTCAGCTGAGATGAATCAAACCCCTGCGTTTAATGATCCAGGACAACAAATGGCACCTAATGGTAAGTAAAGTAACTTGTATTCAGTAACAGTGATTAAAAAGTTCATATATTTACAACAAGCTGCGTTGAAGTCATGTCATAAATATGCCTGTAGGAATATTTCAATGTATATATTAATGTCTCAAACAAGAAAAAAAAACACAAACAAACAAACAGAACTAGGCTAGTTAAACAATACACCTAGGTTTTGAAATGCTAAGTGGGTAGTATTCCAAACAATTGACACGTATGACTTTAATCTCCATTTAATAGGCTCTTTTGACTTGGCAAAGAAGAGAATGATGGCTTTGAAACTAAAAGGTCAAATGAAGAGATTTGGAGTTCCAAGACCAGTACAGAAATCCAGGCTGGCACCCAAGCCCTTGTTCAAACGACATTTCTAATATAATTTCTAAACAAATGATGATTTAAACCTGAGTAAATCTAATTTAATAAATCTAAAATATATGACGCTTTTCATTCATGACTCTTGCTATTTCTCTGGTAAAAGTAAAGATAATTAAACAGGGGCGACAAGCAATTAAGGAGTCGTTACAGACTATTGCCGAGTTCTTACGCGCCGGCTAGCATAGAGTTCTCAACAAGCAAGTCGGACGCCCAATTCAAAGCTACATTTGTCCACTGCAAGATGGCACAAATTATCAACTCATTAGGTTTGTTTGGACCTAAAACAAACAGCTAGGTCGAGAAGTTGATACAATGTACTTTGTCACTGGTTTCCAATTCTCAGGCCATTTGTAGAGAAAGCAAAACCAAACAAAAGTCAATGATAGGATAAATTTAACAATTCAAAGATTTAACAGATTCTTCATAACCTTTACTTGCCCGAGGCTTTTTGTTCGAGGCGTCTACAATAAACCTCTACATAACAATAAGTTAATTGTATTTCTTCCATGTTTAATTAGCTTTGTCTCTCAGGTATAATGTCAGTAAACGTGAATTACAAGCACGGTTCCGAGTGTTGGCACATACTTAAATCACGCATCAGGGCACTTTTATTGTCCATAAGCCACAGTCGGTCGGTTTTAAAGCCTTGAATGTGATTCTTGCTTCCTGAAACGAACGAGCTATTTATTACAAAGCTAATTACCGTGTTTGCTTCACAACAAGAAGTTTGCAGTAGGTTCCATCGACGTTGGCTCTCAAGAAATGCAATACTGATCCTCCGTTTATTACAAATCTACCCCCCAGAGAGCCACTAAGTCGTGGGAATTATGCCAGAAATGTAAACTGAGATCCTAAAAGCTGCTATTCAATTGTCTGCTGTGTCTGATAAAAAGGCGCGGCCCTTCAGCACTCAGATCACTCAGACGGAAAAGTTACCAACCTTCAAGAAACAGATAACTTTACGAGTCACGTACGGGAGTTTTTAGGCTGAGGACTGTTTGTGTCTGAGAAACTACGTATTAAGGAGGTTTTCTAAAGTAAGAATTACTTGCTTTAAGGTAAGAATTATTTAGTCACGAATTTCCACGGATGATGACGAAAGGATCGATTCTAGACTATCACAGCTGGTTGCTATAAAATGCCGGGGGGAGTAATGACCCACAGCTCCCACTAGGGAAAGTTTCAGAGGAACTCTTGACAATTATCTTTGAAATCGTACTTCTATCAGTAGTTGTGCTAATGGAGAGATTAACCCTTTATAGAATATATACTTGCACACACCGTGCTCAATTTCTGATACATGAACCCATGACCTCTACGATACCGGTGCAGCGCTGTAGCTCAGTTGGTAGAGCGCTGCACCGGTATCGCAGAGGTCATGGGTTCAAATCCCGTACAGGCCTGAATTTTTTTTCAGGCCTTATTTTCACTACTGCCTGAGTAGTGCACATTACTGCGAGGTTCACTTTCATTCACGTCTTTATCCGTAGTTCAAATATATGACTTTCATATATCCTTAACCATTTAATCATCACTTCACGGGTTTATTTAGAACCAACTTCATGACCAGCTCCCAGTTGGCTTGTTATCTCAGTTGGTAGAGCGCTGCACCGGTATCGCAGAGGTCATGGGTTCAAATCCCGTACAGGCCTGAATTTTTTTTCAGGCCTTATTTTCACTACTGCCTGAGTAGTGCACATTACTGCGAGGTTTTTACGTCTTTATCCGTAGTTCAAATATATGACTTTCATATATCCTTAACCATTTAAGCATAAAAATAGTTTGTTCATTCCACTTCTATCCTTTTTTTGCATCGCTCACTTGAACTGCCCCAACCCTTGGTAAGTATCTGTTGCTACATCTCCTTCCCCCCCCCCCCCCTTCCGTATTATCGCAGGTCGAATGTCGCACACAACGTCTTTGCAACGACAGAATAACTTGCACCTCGACGGAAACTTTTAAATAGTTGTGGGTTTGTTGTTTAACTTAACACTTCCATACAACGTCGTAAGCCGGCTTGGCAAAAAGAACTATAGTTTGCTTAACTCTTTACGTGTTGCACTGATCAGAATTGGAAGGTAATTTTTCAGCTCTGTAAGATACTTCCAAGCTACTGAAAAACACTACACTTGTAGTCTTGTTAAGCCTTTAAACGACGACTAATGAAAGAGAGCCCAGATGTAGGCAAACAATTAACTTCTCTCATTTGCAATGAGCCAGGGCCTTAGGAAAATAATAAGTTGCAGAATCCCAAAAATGTCATCGATGAAAAGTTAGTGTTCGTTTATTTTTCCCATATGGAAGTCTTTCAAGTGTGTTGCATTAGCTTAAGTTATCTAGACCATCGCTTATTTCATGTGGAAAAGATTACTGTTATAGCGCTGTGCGTTTAGAATAATTATCTTCCATTGATTGAGTTTTGGACACTTAGGAGTTGTTTTAAATTACCATAAGAATAGCCAAACAAAGTACCTTTGAAGTATGAACGGTGACTAGCATTTTAATTGTTCGGAAGCGTCTCACAACAAATCAATGCGTGTCAGCCATTTCCGACCCGTACCGACGTTATTCTTATTGCCTTGTGCGCTCCGAAGCGTGCGATTGACGATCGCAGATGGATGGATGGCTTATTCAATTTGTCTTTTTTAGGCGCTAAGAGATAGTTTGGCGCTCGCTGGGACCAATAGCCTGCGTAGCTGGTGCTTTTAGGCGTTCTTTGGTGCATTGGGTGGCGGGGATACGAAAGCATGTGATTATTACAAGCCAGCAACGGTTTCAGAAGGAAAAATCAGAGAAAATTCCGCTCTGTACCCCATCCCCCTTCTTCAGACGAAACTCCGTCACCTGTATTTGCGACTATAACGCCTTTTTAAAAACCCTGTCAATGGTTTTCGTGGTCCACCGACCTGCCTTGCGTACATCCGCATCATGAGTGTCGGATAAGAACGAGGAAGACAGAACCCACCGTCCTGCCCAAGCCTGCCCTTCCCCCCCCCCCCTCTCCGTCCGCTGCATTCCTTGACGTTCCCATCCTCCATCCATTTCAACCCATAGGGCATTCTGTTATTAAAACAGACCCGATTTTATATTGAGGCTGCTCTCCTAACTCACAGCTGTGTTGTGTTCTTCAGATTCAAACATGTTTCAGGGCCGCAAAAGGAAAGCTCAACGAACAGCTGGTTCAGGAGGAAAAAGGCAACGGATGTCAAAACGAGCACCAATGTACAGTCACCATAGAAACATGCGCTCCAAGCACCAAGATGGCAGCCGCAAGCACGAAAAGCCTTGGGCTGCTCTTGGTGCCTGGTTCATGGGGCCCAAGGCAGAGAACGGAAATGTGTTCCACGAACTTGTCACTCAAACTATTGAATCCCAGATAAACTTTCGTCGTCATGTGTAAGTGAGTCATAGCTTATTCTTAATTTAAGTAGTGTTTTTGAGGAGGGGGTGCGGAACTCGCAGAAAATCATGAGCTAAATACACGATTTGATGAAGGAAATTACCAATGTATCATACATGAGAAGAAAGAAAGTGAGAAAGCAAAATAAGATTTCAATTCATGTTGCAACAAGGCCCCTTTGGGATCTAAGAAAAATTGAAAGTGACCTTTCTTTGGTATGGCTTCTTTCTGTTGCATGCATGGATAAACAAAAATCATTCTCGGGCACGACATTTTTGTCAGACTGATAGTTGGATTTTGTAAATTTTCAGCAAAAAGTCTGATGTTGAATGGTAACATCGACATCGAGCTGCACTGATGTATATTTCTGTTTAAGATATTTTCCATGTGATCCTCCTTACGTGACCGATGAGCTGCGCGATACACAGGCATTCAAAGCTTCTATGAACAAGTTAAAAACTGAGATGGAAGAACTTCAAAATAAAATGATGAATTCTGTGCCATTCTACAGCTCCAGATACAAGGTGCCATGGTATCATCATCGTTATTATAATCATCAGCAACTGACAGAAGTTTACTACCTTTGTCATTATATTTATATACATGAACGGTTTCCAGACGGTCTTAGCACAAAACTGGACGCATGTCACTTATGAACCTAATAATGACTCAGCTCAAAGGTTTTTGTTTCATCTAGAACGCTTTTTTATTGATTATCGTAAAACTAAAACCAAAGTTATTACAAAGGCCGATCATATGAAAGGAAAATACCTTTAAGAGCCAATAAGAACTTATTTTAAATACAGGTAATCTACCTAAAGGGCGGGAAGACGCGAGCGACCAAGTAGTGATTGATTTTAGTTTTGCATTTGATAGTTTAAGTAAGTAGTGTGTGTTTCCTAAAACAATCACATAGCAAAGTAAAGCAAAACCAAAGCAACCCTGGACTACTTTGACACTCAATTGAAAACTTCCAATTCTTATTTGATGAATAACAGTCACACAGGTTCGTTACATCATCCACAGAGCGGTTAAAAATGATACTTTGATCGTGTAGTCTGACCGTCTGGGTAATAGTAGTAATTGGGAGCTTAGACGGACTGTTGTCGGTGGAGGTTACTGACGTTTCGTCAAGACAGCCTCAGCGGAAGACATCACCAAAGAATGCTAAGTTTCACGTTTGCGTCCAAAGCTTTGGATAAATATAAACGGTCCATAATTTTATTAGAGTCATTTGTCTACACAGGGCCATGTCAACTGGGACGTAGCTATGCCAGCCTATCTTGGTTATATCTGTGCTTTGTTGTATAATCAAAACAACTGTGCAGCCGAAGCATCTACCGTGACAACCTCATTCGAGCTGGAGGTTGGGACTGAATTGTGTGTCATGATGGGATATGATCCAGACAAAAGCATGGGGCATTTGGTGACTGGAGGGACAGTTGCTAACATTGAAGCTCTCTGGGCAGCACGAAACGTCAAGTTCTTTCCATTGGGACTACAGAGGGCTCTGCGCAAAGAGGAAAAACTGGCTGATGCAAAACATTATGAGGTTATATTTCCGAGGAATTGTTTAAATTTTTAGAATCTCATCCTTTCGTTGACCCTTACACATACTTAATTAATTAATGGCTCACAGGAAGTCTGGGACGGGTGTGTTTCGTCACGGCTTGTTGAAG